CCAGAAAATACTCATTGCCAGCTTTGAGAAAAGTGGAGAATATTCCTAGCGAATTCTTTACGCTTGCTAGGAAGAAGCCTCTAGGAATCCTGTGATTAAGGTGATTTTCGTGGTGAATCGATTCAAGCGAATGCGAAACGTCACGAACGTCTTTCTGGCTTCGTTGAGCACAGCTGATCTCTGTCTTATCTGGTTTTGTGTTCCAATTATGGTAAGGATTCCCCGTATTTTATACCCCTTCAATTTTTTATATTAATTTTTGAAAGTTTTAGTTCGTCAAGTATATGTCGCATACGTGGTTTATGGGACGATTTGCCTGCTATTCAGTGCATTATATTCAACAGTTCACCTGTTTTTGCTCAGTACTTACCATGACGATGATTTCCTTTGAAAGGTGAGATTGAATTTATTTATTGATTGATTGGATCGAGTTGAATTGATTTTTTTGTAGAGAGCCAGAAGTTTGATTTCCACTTAAGGGCACAATTCACGACTAGCTAAGATGAATTATGTTTTGTAAGGTAGCCAAACCAGGATGCGCCACTTTCGTGGCGTGAAAGTGAGCGCAGTTCGGCTTGGTGGGGGCATTTTGCACGTTCTTATCGAGTACTTCCGATACTTACTGTGGAGACTTGTGACTCCCTGTAAAGCTGTAAGCTAGAGAGTCGTTTACACTTGACAAGGATCTACAGGTCTCACCATGGTGACAAGTACATACAATCCGATAAGAACTAGCAGAATAAACTAACCAAAATGCAAAATGCCCCCCCAAGCCGAGCAACTCCCAAAAAATTGTGGCAAAGACCCCAAAGGCTTGTTATTCATGACTGTCAACGCCCTCCATGACAAGAGACGCTGTACATGCCCACTACATAAAGAGTTCCGATCTCGCTTGTTCGTGCATTCTCTCGCCCTTCCTTGTCTGGCCTCTCGACCAAGTACTCAGTGTTTCTTCACAGAGTCTCAATGTTTTTTCAACGGTCTCCGCCATGTACTAGTTTGAAAGGAGTTCCCAGTTTTTTTTTCTTGTCTTTTACTACGCAGTTGAGAGTCATGTTTAGTCCTTCAATCATATATGAAGTTCCTATAGACGACTAGGCTAGCGGTGAGAGTACCGTTAGCTTTGCTTGGCTGTGCATCTGGAGAATAAAACAAAAAACTTCCTAAAGCGTTTGTTTTTCTTTCGCGTTATGCGAAAGCATAATAAACGGTCTGCCCGTTGTTCCGTCTCAGTTTGGTATAGACAGCGTGTAGTGAGGTGCGGAGTCTGGTTTTCAGGGGGGGGGGTATTCTCCAACTTTAGCTTTTGCCGCCAAAACCTTGCGATTGCTGATCGGACAATCCACTGGAAATGAGATTAATTTTTTTGTGTGTTGCTCTCAACCACATACACTTCTTGTTGGACCCTAAGTTTTCAGTTTAATAATGGGAGGGAAGCGACAACTGTAGTTCTCTCGATGTAATTCGCTGGTGGGGAATGGCATTTTAATTCAGTTCATGATTTGCGACATGATTTTGTTGTCGAAGGCTGCTATTTATGCGCGATCCGGGATTTATCTGCAAGCAAAGCCGTTGTATGCCCCACAAGGGGTGATGCTAGGTCGGTGCTGTTGTGGGAAGGGGGGTCCATGTTGGCCCGGAAATAACTTTCGATTGTTGATTTTTGCTGTCGAACCGCGGCACTGTTTATTCTTCCCAATCGTGGTGCATAAACGACCGTAATTTCTTACGGATAGCGTTTAGGGGAGCTTGCCCCCCCCCTTCCCTTCTCCACTCGACGGCAAAAATCTAGGAACTTGTTGGGATGATCGGATAGCTGTTGAAAGGAGGTGGTACCGGAGCAGAAAATTCGGAGAAAGAGTCGTGCTCAGCGGAAATTCTCCTCAACGCTAGAACGTGCCCTATTCACAAAGGTGAAAACTAGGTATAGGTGAAAACTGGTGTTGTAGACAAAATGCTCAGCCCCAGCCAGAACTAGAACTTGCACGCCACGTCTCCCCCCTCCCCATATAGTGTGTGCTAATGGTAATTGGAATAAGGAAGACTAGATGTTATCAAATGGATACCCGTCGATCTCTCATCGGATTAGTGCGGCACAATGGCTTTAAGCACCACTTATCACTAGCAAATATCAAATGTCCCGTGATTTCACGTAGAAATAGCCTACATTATATTCCTGGAGGGAGTTAATGAGTGTAGAGAGTTTAACCTTTTTTTCCTGTATCCACCTCATTACAGATTCATCGCCATTGCATATCCAATGAGGAATATGTGGTTGTCGTCAATAGGCCGAGCGAAAAAGGTCAGTGGAATGATCTATCTTAGGAGCAGGCAACATTCGTTTGGAGGAACTTCTTAGGGGGTCGTATTTATGCCAGTGAGGAAGGGGCCGTATTTGGCTTCATGTTTAGACTTCACTGTACTGTGAAAGGGGAAGGGTGCAACCAAGAGTCAAGTGTTATATCGCTTTTCATGTATAGGTATGATTACTGCAAGCGATAGGGCGTGGACTGGAGCGCTGCCAAGACGGCCTTTCTATCAATAGAGCCATGATGACTCCACAGCAGATAAAGGGAGAGGCTGTTCTGGCCGCAGTCCAACCCAGTCCCTTTCACAAGGCAGGGATCACGACTACGCATCTTGTCATACTTCCCGTAGGGAACAGCGGGCTTTCAACGGAAAGGGTTGTTATTGAATCAAATTATGAGTTTTGGATAACTGACGGTATACAGTACCCAAAACTCCGCGTAAAATTAAGTGCGTGGGACCAGCGAGTGCACACCCTCAGTTCTCACCTAGGTAGCATCTGTTTGCGGGTGGAAAGCGAAATTAGCGTCGTTTCTACTCTCTGGTCTCACCGGGAGCTTCCTGTGTCAATATGGATGCGTTCACATGCCCGACACGCTTAACTTCACGCGCAATTTCTCGGGGTTACTATAGGCTGCTTGATTTCCCAAATTATAACTTTTTGTATCTCAGTCGTTAGATGGGGTGGTTTTAGCTTGCTGAGAAGAACCATGGAGAGGTATGAGAAATTTTACCTTGTAAAGGTTATGTGATGTTCTTTGCTGGGATCAGTGTTCGAGGGACTGCGTTATTGGCGCCGGCGCTAGCCCCTTTTCCACCCACTGTGTTCTCGCTTTTTCACTTCAATAACTCGGTGATCGGGTTTGGCGCCGTGTCAAGCCCATCTCGTCTGAGACGCCGCATCATCCTCAGCCGAGAGGACTGCGCATTCGCTCCCATGAGGCCGCATTAACTTGGACGACCCTGGAGTTGATTTAGTCGTGCAATTCCCTAGCCCAGGTTTCACGCTTAACTGCGACCATGGACGCGGCGCCACTGCTAATCGTGGACCACTGGCAACTGCCTGTTAAGTGCAGTTTCCAGGATTACTCCGTCAGCAGTAATGCGCATATTTGGTCGCAAACTAGCGATTTATCGAGTTACCTGGAAGAATTGTATCGCTCGAGACGTGAAGTATGTGAACGCGAACCCTCTCCACCTTGAATGCGTATCCTAGTCGGCTGTGATTTTTTTTTCTGGATATTGAGTCAAGGGCTAGAAGGAATGGGGAGGATTGAGTCATTTAAGTTGACGAGGTCATAGTGGAGTCAGTGAGTGGAGGAGTTTCCCAAACATCATCTCGTACACTGGTTGAAGAGCTACCCTCTAAATGAAGTCGATAGATATATTTCCAGGTGATTCTGCTCATATGGCTGCTGTCAGCGATTCTGGCGATTCCGACGGCAATCCGTATAGACTATGAGACAAACATATCCCTCTCGGGTCACAGAGTACATTGGTGTAGGAGAAGGTGATCTTGCTTTCACTCTCAATTAATCTCATAATTTATACTCTTTATCCCTGAGACGGGGTAGGCGTGGCATTCGAACATGGCACGGAACTGGTTACTCGTGGGATATTTAAATTTCAGACAACCGCCATCTTGTTCTTTGTTGGAAAAAGACGTGACCACATTTGGGTCAAAATGAAAATGTCTTTCACAGCCACCACGACGTTTAGTTGAAGTACGCAGCCACGCCTACCTCATCTCAGGGATTTCGAGTGTACCTACATACATATCGGCGCCGTTTTCCTGAGAGGAGGATGCCGTTGAATAAGCAGCTTTCCAGTCAGGATTACAGGGAGATTACGGCTTGGGAAGCCTTGCATGTAGCTACGAGTTAACAATCTTCTTTCCAGATTCCCCAATGGATTTCTCGGGTATTCACGAATAAAATTGAATCGAATTTATGCGGTGTATCAGGTAATGGCTAGGATGGGCCTCTCTTACTAGCAGTAAAAGTTACTGAGCTTTAACCATTTCAGATGTTACTTTTGATCGTGTTTCCCGTGGTGACGATGTCGATCTGCTATGCTCGCGTTTCTGTCATTGTCTACACCTCATCAAAAAGTCGACTAGCGCTCTCTCAAGCAATGTGTGTCTCAGCCCTTAAAGGCATCGTCCACGGGCAGTACAGTACCCCTCTCTTCCTCCTGCTTCAGTACGTTCATATGTGCACATATGTGCACCACAAAATCAACCATAACACCGAACAAAGGACGGGTAAATCCCGAATAGGATCTCGAAAGGGAAGAGGGCAAATAATCGTAGGGGAGGAGCAGTAAGCCTAGCAGCACTCTTGAATGGAGTAAAACCGTAACAACCAGACAAAAGGTTCCCAGCTCTTTGAATGTCCGAGCACTATCTGTCTGCATAGGTTTTTGACCACGCCTCTCCGACCATCATGAGAAACTGACTGCGGGAGCCTTTTTGAAAGTCCCTTTGAGCCTTGTTGCAATTTCAAATAATCGATAACATCAATAATTAACTGGTGACCTTCAGAGAGGGTTTCAGGAAAGATTTCCATGAGAATATTTATATCCTCACCTATGACTTAAGGAACCTTTGTAACGGTATTGAAGTATTATTATGATGCAAGGCCTGTGAAACATAAGACTCGCAAAGTGGGAACGTTGTACGTTAGGGATCCCCTTCCTCCCCGCTATGTGGCAGTCAGTATTTGGACAAAAATGGGAGAGTTCTAGGAAAAACTGGAGATTTTCCTGAAAGAAAACTCCGGAAAAGTGGGAGAAGATTCAGGAGTAGGTAAGATTCATCAAGAGAATCGTATTCTAAAATTATTCTCCCTATCGACAGAACATGCTCTGCCCGAGTCACTTAAGCGTTCAAAGACATCGTCTTGAAATTTTGGCATCGCCCCTCAATGAGGAGACCAACAGGATTTGGAACCCAAATTTTTCTTACGATTTTTCTTTTTTATGAACGTTCAGTAATAGATAATTCGGTAATAGTAAATCAATCGCCGCTTCGAAAAAGGATTTTCTGAGGGGATTTTCCCGCGTGATGGGCGTCTCTTAAGATGGGAGTGGCTTCCTTGCGGCCCTGTCTGAATTACAGCTTTCAAGCGCATTTGTTCTGCCTTATTATGGTTAGTTGCTTTCAACAATTTCCGCGGAGAAATTTTCTGACACACACCCATTTTATTCCTGTTCACGGGAGGCTTTTGACCACCTATAACCCTGGAAGGAGGTTCCAGCTAGCTCCTGATTCTTCCACGTTTTCCTAATAATATATCATAGCTAGATACACATCCTCTGTAGTGGTCCGCACCCGTCTATTCATGTGAGAAGAACTGGTTCAGCACTTCCAAGCTGGGCTCGATTATCTGACTCTTTACTGGCGTTTACCCTATGCACTCTATAGCTGTCAATCTCTCCACTCTTCAAAGAATTTACGAGACCTTTCAGGGTTGCGTTCAGCAAAGCAGCGACCGATGCTGTTCACTTTTCCGGGTACAGTACTATCCCAATGATTTCCACTAGTCGAGAGCTCAAATCTGCTACAACAAAAACTTATAAAATGCCTACAATAAACAGAAATCAACTAGAGTAGCTGAAGCTAATAAGAAACAGGTAAGGTTTTTTGTAGGAGGTGGTACTTTCATCGCAGTACCGCAGTAGTTCGCTTTCAGATCGTTCAAATGCTCATTTCAATCGTTGTTATGTATACAGTGTGCTGGTTACCAACAATAGGTAAGTGAGTTCAGTACCGCCCTCGAAGTTGATTGCCTTTCACATACTGTGCGATTAACCTTAATCTTTCTGATTGACTGACGCGAGCTAATTAAGAGTACATAGTTCGTTGTTGAATAGAACACTTCCTTTCTCAACTTCCAAGTGCTCCCTTCAGCTGGGTTCCACTTTCGCATTCCTCATAATACATTTGGGCACCATGTTGGGGACCGAACCAGTTAGCAACAATTGGGGTAACTTCAAAGCCTAAGTGCAAAAATATAGCTCCAAAGGGGCAAGGATCCGACCAGTCATTAGAAAGAGTAAGACAGCGTCTCTTATTATGGTCGGGTAACATTACCAGCGCATCTGAGACGCGATAAATAAACAGTTTGGGAAGTATACACCCATTAGAGTTATCTTCACAAAAATGTGTCCCGAGGTTCAGATTAGTGACGACATCACCTCCCCGGTGAACGCCAGTTTTTTGGGAAAAACTGGAAACTCTTCGGAAAAAGTCGGAAAAACTTTCCTTTACTGGGTATCTTTGATACTGATCCATCCACCTATACACATTCTACCAAGAGAAAGCTCTATATTACAATGTAGAACTATAAATCTGAGAATATTCGTTGTTTCCTTTTTCTCAATTTTTTACAACATATGATGCCTCGTTTCCTCAGCAAAGATAAATGAGAAAATGGTTTCATTTTGACGCAACGTAAGAAGCATAAACGTTCCAATAAAAGTGCCAGTCAGTTCACAGTTTCCCTTGTGTGTTAACAGTGCGTTGCGGGGATGAGGGAGGAGGTGTCGCATTGGGCTGCTAGAGAAGCTGAGAGGTCATAATTGCCGTGAAATAAGTTTGACTTTTTCCGTTCCACGCACCCTATTCTCCTAGTTGACAGCGCTGCAAAACTACTAGTTTTTCGGTGGCTTATCGAAATTGCTTTCCCTCCTACCCCTTGTTAGGGCAAGTTTTTGGAAAAAAAAGGTGACTGGAAAGGTAGATTGCAAAAGACATCGTGCCGTTGGAGAAAATTTGGGGAGGGTGAAAGGGAGGGAGGACGTATTCAGCCAATTCCAGTCAAAATTTCACACAACGCTGTGGTGGGCCCTTTCAGCAGATTCGGTAGCGCTAAGTCTTGTGAATTCTCACTTCTGAGCCATCTCACGCAAACTATGTCACAGGGTATCCCATTGCTGGTTAACTGGACATTTTCATCGAGCGACCTTTATTAGTAGAATATGGAAGTTTAAGTGTAACTATAATCATATTACGCTCGTCAAGGAAGGGCAAGCCTAGCCTATTAGCACAGAAATAACTTTTGAATAGTCGACGAAATTTCACCATAATTGAGGAGTCGAGAGCAAAGCGTGCATCAGTATAAGGGATAAAGGCTTGGGAGGGGTGACGAAATGATCAGTGACAGAGACACAATTCGATAGGTATGCTGTCCACGCTTTTGTGGTTTGCATTTCCCATGCCGAAAGGTTCTTCCTTTTTCCCTTTCAACGCTGTGAAATGTAGTTGAGTACCTTGGGATCTCTAACTATTACGGTATTTCCTAGGTAGTTGGCTTCTCATTGAGGCAGCGTCGGAGAGGCGATAGGTACAGTTGTGAAGGATCGACGCTAAACATGAAAGAGCAGAGCACTAAACAAACCATCCCGTGCGCCGAGATTGCTTGCTGGCGCTCGACGGAGTCCTCATTTGATTGACTTCATGATTAGCGATCAATATGGCCGCCAATCTGCACCTCAAAATCGCTAGAAAGCGTGCATTCGGTGCTGATATCTGGTCAATGTCTTCCTTTTTATATTTTAACTCTCTTCCTCTTTTGTTGTTTCACTTAAGTTTTTGTTCCTACAATTCTAATAGCTTAATGTCTGCTGTAATGTCCTAATGTGATAATAGTGTCGTTAATTACGATTCAATGGGTTGCGGTCTGTTAGGAAAAGTTAGAACATTAAAGGCAGTTGGCACGATAAACCCCCAAGACGACTAGGATCAATACTCCTGGCAGGATAGAATTCCGCGACCCTGGGCAGGCGCTGCATAGCGGTTTCCCCGAGGAAGGTGCCCTTATAAGGGCCCTATCAAGCCACAACGTACGTCCCAAACGCCCGCCACGCCCGCCCGCCCACAAATGGACGACCGTTCCTGACGCGATTCATTTGCTAAGCAAATAATGGAGCGAAGATTGGTATTGAAGGCGGGCCGTAGGTGCTGCCATGTGTATATGGCGTAACAAACCCTATGCAGCCCGTATCTTCGTTAGGTTGCCGGTGATTGGCAAGTATGCTACTTGGGCAAACTCGCCGAAAATCGATTTACAGTCACTGAGATTGCAAAGCTTCTCGCTCGCAGGATTTGACCGTTTCCCTTCGTTCTTTTCGCCATATTCCCTCTATGCAGGTCCCTACAGGCATCTATGGCTAAGCTAGGAAACCATGTGGCCAACTGGCCTTTAACTAACATGGCAAAAGCCATTTAAGAAGAGAGATGGGCCCGGACCACGGCTAAGGTTCGAGTGCCTCTGTCTATCCTGTAATTTTCGCGTCTGAGAGTGGCATCTGATCCAACTGCTTCAGGGGATTCTTCATAGGAGGAGCTACGCAAAAGGTTAGGTAGCCTATCACTGGTGTCTAGAAATCGGTTATCTGCTGGCTGCTAATCGGCATCAGATAATAAGCTTCCCCACCGTCCCTTCCTCCACGTTTGCGACGCAGGATACTGTCCTAAGTTGGGATTACCACCCGGGGGGGGGGTAGAATTCGCACTCGAGAAATCTTTCCGATGTTCAGTTGCTCCGGGATTAAGGCTACTCATCCCTTCCCACCCGACCCCACTCCCACAATCGTACATTTTTTTTCGAAAGGGGTTCTCGAAAATTCCAGAAATTGCAGAAGAGTATGTATGAAGATAGTAGAGATGGAGATAGGGGGAGGCGCATCTGAGGAGATTCAAAAAATTTCGTGTGGGGGCGTATTTTGCAGAAGTTCGTTCCCAGTGGCACGACGTACCTGTTGCAGTGCCCTCTTTCGGCGCTCTCATTCGCAACTGGGGTGGATGTGTTAGGAATACACCCGACGCTGTGATTTCATTCGGAGTTTATGCTTTCATTTTTCCTGGATAGGACGTGTTCGAGTAGGTCAAAGGGTAGAGCTGTTATTTCCTAATCGTTGGCATGATCAGCGATCACCTTGGCTCTAGTTGACCTGAGAGACGCAGACACAGAAGCGAGTCCCTATTGCGCACATGTAGCGGACGGGCTATCATTGAGGAAAGGTTTTAGACAATGCAACGCCCCCCCCCGAACTCCGCCCCTCTGGGGAACGCTCCCTCGCCTGTCACCTGTTTCCCATCTTAGCTACCACCTCCCAGGTTTCCTAGTCGTAAGGAGGATTTTTGGGATGGCTCAGCGTATGACGTGCCCTGATTACATATCAGATGTCTGATTTCTCTGTTTACCTTTATCTTTTCTAAAAACGGAAATCAGCCATCGTACAATTCCTATTCTGCGAAGACGGCTCCAAGAAATGACAACACGGGATCAGCTGAACCTGCGGCTTCTGCTCTTGATTGCAGTATCACTTAAATAGCTGTATGGCTTCGTGAAGCTTCCTTGTGTGACGTTATGTCCCATGACAGCTTACTCCTAGTTCTCTTGTATACACGTGATGGAGTAAATAATTGAGAAATATCTGGTGAATGTGAAGGGTACGAACCTCTACTATTAAAAAGTACAATAATCATGATAAGGCTTCAGAAAGATTTGGATATTATTTTTGCTTGTAGATTTTCTTTTCACTTATGCGGCTACTATGCCCTCTTTCCGGCATTATTTGCCCTTGATGGCCCACTTTTCGAAATTTAAGCTAAATTTTGAGTAAAACTCTTCTTCGAAATATAATACTTATTTGAAGCGAAAATGTTTGGTGTCCGAGCCGTGAGCACTCTTCCACCGGTAAGTTTGCACCTGCGCTCGCAGCTCATGAACCAGGCTTTTCACGCCGAGCTCGTGTACCAGTCGCGTTCAAAAGGTATACTAGCCCTGGAGATGAGTTTCCAACAGGGCACATCATTAGTTGGTGATTTTGGTTGAGTCCGCACGTCCCCCCACCTCTAAAAGGTATAGAAGGTGGCTCGATACACCCACCTCCCCCCCCCCTAGTTTCCTCCTCTGATACGATGGAGCTGAGCTGTGGAGCGGGGGGTAGAAGTATGTTGCACATGTAAAACGAAAAAAATGCGACTCCCCCCCCCCCCTCCCAAGCGACCGAATACGACGCCATCCCTGTTGGGGAATCCCTAACAATGGTGTGCCCTAGTTCCCAACCAATCTGGTATCTCCAAGGGTTTTGGCGCTCGCGCTTATGGTGTGTGCCTCGGGTGATTTTGTGCAGAGCTAATGAGATTTTCCAACCTGCGGAAGAAAGGTGCGGCACAGATTGACGACGGGGGGGGCATTTTGCACTTTTGCTACTTCCCATCGACGTGTCGACCTATCTAGACAGCCTCTTCTCGAGTTGACAGGTTTTAACATGATGGCTTGACGACCTTGCTCCAGCTTCACAAGAGTTCACAGGTTTCGCCAGAGTGAGACATGTAAATGATAGTACAAAATGCCACCCTCCCCCCCCCCTATCAGACTGCGCCGAAAGGTACTCGCCAAATGTACCCATGGAGCATGCTTGCCAAATGTACCCATAGAGCAGAATTTCGATCAAAATCAGGCCGAAATTTCAATGAGCAGTAAAGAGAGAATATGCCCTATTTTTCCCTCTACCCCATTGCTGGTGAGCACAGAAAGAGGAAATTCTCCTATTTGCTTCCGGTTAAAGGGCACGTGAAACAATAAATGCAAGTGCATACTTCTCTTGAACATATGTAACTGCTGTTCAACACCATAGTTCGCGCTCCGTAAGTTAAGGCTGAGTTCCAAGAATTCTGAGTTACAGGCGAAATGCTTGACCCCATGTGGGACTCGAACCCGCATCTGACGCTTTCAGGGCGA